GGTTAGACACTGTGTGAAGTTGAAGGCTGTCATTCTAGCTCATTCCTCTGGTGATTTCATGAAGTCTTTGTTAAATTTTTCCCATGTACACCTAACATGAATGCACTTGTAGCTAATATAGCCAAACTGCAAATCCAATTCAGAACCCTACAGAAGGTTGTTATCAAACATGATTTCCTTTAATTCATTGTTTTTTTCTTGGCTATCTATGTGCGGCTTTCTGTCGAGTCCAGGTTTTCTGGGTGATTTTTGTACGAGGAAATCAGACACCAGCCACAGGATCCTGAAGCACCCATCACTGCTTCAGACCCCCAGTCTATATGATAAGCGGTTCGTAATTTCTTACTGCAGGCTTCAGAAGTCCTATTGGTAAGTTTAACTTACCAACTACCAAGACAGTAAGTTAAACTTGCTACACAGGGTGAATATACATAAGTGTCAGGACACTGAAAAAGGCTGGGTTCTTGTGCATGCACAGTAACCCTCAGTCTTTAGGGTTGTCGATCTGATTCATAAGCACTAAATTCATTTAAAAGAAAACGAAGGGGAAAAAAAGAACATTCTTTAGTTTTTTGAGTCAGAAAGTTCTGTACTACTGTTTGCTCAGATTTTCCAGCGAGATCACTTCCTGAATGGGACTTAATATGAATAAATGTTCTGAGAAGCAGGTTCAAAAGCTAAGCATGCAGAGACTGTATAGTCTTGCAAAATCCAATCAGTGGCAAAGCTGACTTTGGTTCTAGTTTTCTAGTAAGCTCAGAAAATTTCACACTTGTGACTCAGAACAAGTTTTTTGATGTCTTACTTGATGTTTTTGACTAAATCTTTAATTCTCACATTTTTGTTCGGCTTTAAAAGGACCTTGTTGTATTTATCCACCTTGTGATTTCAGTAAAATAATTTGATTTGAAGAGAAAAGGTCAGAATTTCATTCTGAAAGAATCTGTCAGATTACATGGCTTTATCTGTTTGCAAAACATCTAAAGCAGTATGATTATCATCAGTTATTTTAATAGAAGAATTACCTTCTCATTAAAGACTAGATCTGTCCAAACAGTACAGAAGGGGTTCCCCATAAATACCTCAATGCAAACCTAACTGGGTAGAGAAAGGTCCGATAAAATATAAAGCTATGGACAACTGGTTGTTTATCCTGGGGCAAAACATTGCATCGCTTGTCTGGCCTTCCCCAGGTTGAAGAATCTTGGTCAATATCTGGCTGTGTTTAGGGGACTGCATAAAGGCATACGGGGATGGTGTGACTGATCAGCATTTGCTGATCTAAACAAATGGCTTTTACCATATCGGGACAAGCAATTGCAGACAGTCAGTAGCACAATAAACTATATTCTATCTCTATGCTTGTCACTGGAAAGTAGAAATACATATTTTTTTCAACTGAATAAAAAAATAGGAGGTCCAAGTGTCAAGACCTCAGTACTGTAACAAGTTGGATAGTTTCCAGTGGAACATTTTTCTCTCAGCTAATGCCAGTTCACCAAAACCTAACACGTTGCATGAAAATGTCTATTCCAATGAAATTTTTGATGGAAATGTGCTTGGTTTGCTGCCAGCTCACCCGTTTTCCCAGCTCTCGGCTCCCCGGCATCTCACCTGGAGTGGTGCCAGAAAGTCAAGTTTCTTCACGTTCCTGGCCTGCTGGCAGTCTGCCACAAAGGATGGGAGTCTGGGCTCCCGAAAGTGGACAAGAAACCTTATACATGCACATACAACCGTACACATACTCTCACAGGTCATTTAAATCCATGTCAGTTCATTCAAAGTAAAGATTTTTTTTCTTTTACATAGAGGTTCTTTTAAATGTGACTGTCCTATGGAAAATTTTTCATGTTGGAATTTTCACTCCAAGTTGTAAATGAAAAAATTGAGGAATATGAAAAATTTTCTTTACAAGGGAAATACTGGTTCCTGAGAATCTGTTATGCTATTGTCACTGAAGCTATCAGCAGCTTCATCTGCATCTCTTTTTCGCTGCATTACAAGATGCATATTTGTAACAGGTAAGGTGTCCACGTACTCGACAAAACAAGATGATACTTTTAGTGTTCTGTGAATATTTTTTTTAAACGTCCTCTTCAGCCACATTAAATGAGGAATCAATCTTCTCTTGGTCGCTAAGTTTAGTTTGTGCACTGTCTAGTTGAGGAATGAGTTTCCCAGTTGTTTGCTGAAGAATAAACAGAAAACAAGCATATATTCTGAAATTCCAGCTGAGTGGCTGCTGAAGCAGGAGCACTGCAGTGTACTTTTCCATGGCCTCATTTCATGCACTGCAAACTGTTCAGTTGCTTGTTATACATAAGTACATAAATAAACTTCAGTCACACTGTGTTAGCTAATTTTTGACTGGGGGGATGTGTTCATGTTTGAGACAAAACACAGTTGATTCAAATAGCCATTAATGAATTCCTTTTCTGATTGTTCTTAATGCCTTGGATTAGCATAACAAAGTCAGACTCTTTACAGGATCAGTACTTGAAGCAGCTAATTTTTCAATTGAGCTTTTGAGAATCTGGGATTTGTAGTAATGGATAAAGTTCTTACTACTTCATTAAAGAAAGGTCCCTGAGTGGAATTCTGCTTCTGCCTAAAGTGGCATTGTGGTTATCAAGTCTGAGATGCACTACCAGTCCATCAAAAACTGCTGCTTCTGTAATAAAAGAAAATGTTAATTATTCTTAAAAGCAAGAAAACATCTTTCCTGTATAACATACTAAAATTGCTATTAAAAAGGTAAAATCTATTTCTTTGCCAAAGGAAGGGGGTGTTGTGTAACAGAGCTGGACCGATACTGTCCTTCATAGCATTTCATTGTGATTTTTCTCCCAGTGCCATTTTATTCTGACAGTGGGAATGATCAGCAAAGTACTCAAGTATTAATAGTACTATTATGTACATAAATATTTGTAAATGGCTTAGATAAAATGTACTTTAGAATCACTAAGGATTAATTAGGAATATGGAAGATTTTTCTTATGCTTTGAGTTAACTTCAAATGTCCAAAATGTGCATATTTTTGCCCTTGTCATTTTAATAATGCTCGTAAAGGCTCTATGAGTTGCAACCAGCAGAAGAAAGTGGGCATGGCAGAAGCTTCAGGTCAGTCCTAAAAACTGTCATCTCCCAAACTGCAGCTGCACAGAATCCTGACACCCTTTGCTTGCATGAGCCTTGGCGTCAGCCTAGCGATAAGGAGGTGGGGAAACAGGAAATGTGTGTAAATATAGGACTGAGCAATTCAAATTAATACTCTGAAATTTTAAGATTAATAAAATTATAAACTTTTTCACTTGGTTTCACTTTAACTGTTAGAAATGATGTAACAGAAACCTGTGTACTCTTAGGTATTTTCCGATGTCCCTAAACTGAACTCTTAGTTGCCCTCTCTAACCTCCTAATCTTTTTGCAAAAGAGAGCAGAAAGGCCCCTCTACAAAGAAATCTTGACTGCTTTATTTGACTCGTTGGGGTGAAAGGAAAAAGGGAGGGGGAAGCGACACATATCATGCTGTAAATACAATTCAACATGTGCAATGAAGTGACAGCTGAATTCTTCTGGCCTTTATGTCAAAGAATCACTGCTGGAGTGCAATGTGTAAGCAAAGTCGTCTCATACTGTTATCTGACTAGTGTTCTGTAAGAGCAACAGTCTGGATGAGGGGAAAAAATCAGCTATGCCCTTCTGAAAATAGAAGAACACTGACACTGATATTCCTCAACTACCTTTCATAAAGTCAAGCTCAACTCTACAGTAAATCTGAGCTAGTTCTGACCTCTCTCACTGTCACAAGCACTCACAACTGCTCTCTGGTGGAAAAAGAAAAATTTGATTTCCATCCAGAAGTGCATTATTTATGATTTTGAACTTTAGTCTACTCATTCAGACACGATCTTACATTTTTTTCTGCTTGTTCTCTGAACACATTATGGGCTTAGTCTATGTTTGAAATTCTGGATCTGGATTCAGTTCTTTGACCATTTCTACACTGTAATATTAAGGTAGAATCAAGTAATTGTAGAGAAAAAAAGACAATCATGGAATTTTGGGATATTGTTTTTCATGTCACCTCAAACTGAGAGGGAGATATTGCTTTTTGCAGTGCATGTTTTACCATACATCTTCCTACAGAAGCTGATTTTCTTACTACGTACAGGAAGTTTGAAGTTAGATTCAAGGTGTTGCTGTTCCTGATGCAGTAACCTTCATAACCGTTTCTATTAGCTCTTAATGTTATATGACAACAAACTCACAGATAAATCACCCTTATCCAGAAGCACACATCCCAGTATATTTCTTAAAACCAGGGGTGGACACAGACATGAAGTAGGGGTTCCTAGCTCCACATGCTATATTGGACTGATACAAATGAGTCTGTACAGAATATAGCTTCTCAAATACTTGGGGTTGAGGAACAAAGCTGTTGCAGTGCTGGTGCTGGGGAAAGTGAGGCAGCAGAGAACAGTTGCCAAGAACAGCATTAGGGATTTTGGCTTGGGTTTTTATAGGAACCTATGGAAGTAATGGCTTAGCAGAGATGCTATAGCCTAGTCTGTACTGGTCGAGAGCTTATATTTGTTGCTATTGAACTCTCTCCGTTTGCAGTAATAAACTGGATCTGTTTTCTTGATATATCTTGCTGTTATCAGCTACTTTAATCCCTAGAGCTGCTTACAGTAACTAAATTAAACTGTGTGCAGTGGTGTATCATCCCATCAGATGGCACAGATGAGTTCTACAGCCTCCCTGGAGTCACCCAAATCAACTATTATTAGCTGTTTTTAATGTAAGAGTTCCTAAGTATCTTCTTTTTTTTCTTTGGTCTTAAGATACTCTGGAGGCTTTTTTTCTTCCTGAAATTGTTGCGCTGTTTTCGGTACTTAAGAGAAAGATTCCAAACGAAGCAGCCATTCTTAACCTATGCAGACAAAGGGAGTGGTTCCCTTAGCAACAGGAACCATGTGGAGGTTCTCAGAGAGCTCTCTTTTCCCCCTACTCGTGTTTTCTTTTAACTCAACATTTTGCACAGCATCTTGCATGGAGACTCCGACAGCTGGGCTGGAGGCAAAACAGTTCTTCCGGCTCTAGCTAACCAGTGCTCGAAAGGCAATTGTTCTACACTCATCAGACAGAAAAAATGATAATCATGGGTAAGTGAACTGGCACACAATCAGAGTTCATGCTGTGGAGGGGGAAAGTTTACTGGCTGGCTACCAGAAGTGTCCAGCACTTACCAGTAGGCACGTATATTTGAAACTGTGTTGCTAATGTGATGCTTAACTTGGTTACTGTTGAGATCGTATGTCTGCATTTAGCAAATCAGGGCTTTAAAACATTAGCACAACTGAGTTCTAGTCCTTGGTATGCTACCGACTTTCTTTGTAGCCCTGGACATGTCACCTAACCTATTTGTTTTCCTCCCCCATTGACTAAATGGAGAGTGTATACCATGAGCATGTTGAAAGGGCTGTAAATTACTGCAGAATTATACCCTATTGCTTGGCAAAATTATATCTGCTTCTGAAGTTAATGATAATATAAAGAATTTGGAATGAAAAATCAATCTTTCATTGAAGATGTAACTCAACTTTTCTGTACATGGATCAAGTTTCTTCATGGTACAATATTGCAGACTTGAAATATGTGCATATGCAGTTGAGTATGATGAGGAATAAATAGCAGAAATAGAGCAGTTGATTTCCCTCCAAATAGCTATAGCATTGGTAAAGTTGCAGCTGTGTTTCTGTGAAATTCAGCCTATTGTAACGTAATGGATTTTAATCTTTGTGTGTACTGAAGTAAACACTTGTTCGGCTGTACCTGAGGTGTTACATATTTCAATATATCTTGCCAACCTCAGCTGAAAACCTTAATGCGTAAGCTCTGTAAGTTTGTATCATTTTATCTACAAAGGAACATCCAAATTTATCCAATTTTAAGTCTGTTAATTTGTGGGGAAGTTGCATAAGGGATGAATTTATCTCTCCTTTCCTCCTAATTTAAGGTAAGGAGTTCCTTTAATCACAATTTTTTATCATATTTGCATAAAAATTCATGCACTAGAGTTCGTATCTGACAAATAGTACTGCATGCTGATCATTTGGATGCAGACTTCCTTTTTTTCCACAGCTACAGATGGGTTTCCTGATGTCGCAGTGGATGCAGTCAGCAGTACGGGCAACTTAGTTGCTCTTCTCTCAAATGTGATTACTGCAGAAAGAAACAATCACTGCAACTGTGTGTGCAGAGTAGCTGCAGAAGTGCCATACATCAGATATCCACAGTCCTGCCAATAACGTACTGCTAATCCTCTTCCTATTCCTTGGCAATGCTAATTATCAGTGTATCACTTTCTGTGTGCTCTTATGGCACCCAGTACAACGGAGCTTTTCCTACACGATCACAGGTTCAAACAGCCATAATGCTCCCTTTTGCATGGTCATTTACAATTTGTCTCTTAACTCCAATTTAAAGTAGGAAAGATTGCTGTATTTGCAGCCTTAATAATAGTGTTAGATTTTGTGATTGATGATGAAGGCAGTTATGTATTATAATTGAAACAAATTGTTCCTCTTTTCTCTCTGTGGTTTTATTTCCCCACTTTTATGCTCCACTTCAAGTAGTAGTTCTGCAGGAGTCATCTGTACCAGGTAAAGTACAAAATTAAAATATTTAGCATTTGGGAAACAGTGTCTGAATTCCAAATTGCAATTCATTATACATATTGCAAAACAGATGAAGAACCTCCTTTGTATCATTCTTCTTCTATTTTCTTTTTTAAGAAAAAAAATTAATTAATTGTGGATTAATGTTCTCAATTGTTTCTTGCCTCTCCTTTGGATGTCCAGTTCTATAATATTCCCTCCTTGGTCATTTACCCAATCTTTTTGAGCAGATGATTTTCATTCCAGTAAACAAAAATGTCAGTCCTTTTGCCAGGCCCACTATTAGTGATTTTGTATGAATAACCCACTGAGAGGCACTTTATGTTACTTAGAAGAAATGTTTGTACTGCTATTAGCAGTAGTTATACTGTGCCTTTCATCCAAGCATTTGAAGTGCACTGCAAACGTACATGAAGGCTCCCCAGAAAGCTGGAGACAAGGAAGTAATACTAAGGGATAACTTCGCCCAGAAACTAAGTAAATAACAAGAACTCTAATAATCTGCAGAAGTGCTGTATATCTTACAGCAGGAAGTAAGGATTTGATGTAGAAGTGGGTTACATTGCTACCAACACCTATGTCAATGTCTTGATGCTTCACACTTAGGATACATATATAAAGTAAGCTGAAACTGAAGAAAAAGTGGATGTTAGTTTAAAAGATTAAATGAATGAATGATGATTGGCCCATAGGAAGAGTTAAGAGAAGCTTATTTATGCAGCTGGCAGCCAAGAAGTTGGATAAGTTTCATGCTGTTAGTAAGATGGATAATCACACACAGATTCAGTTTCAGGATTTTACCAGTTTTATATGCTGTATGATTTTTCAACACCAAGTAAAAGGCAAGGCTTACAATATAAGTACTTCCCTTTTTCAGTCTGATTTATTCATTAAAAGAGCAACAGGCATAACTTCCTTGAAGGTACCTCTGGCTGAGAAGTAAATCATACATTAGTTCATGCGTGCATCAAGGCTTTTTGTATTCTAGTACCAAAACAAGTTGGTGTGATAGTCTGGTGTGATACAGCCCCTAGCAATTAATTAACATTCCTCCGATCCATTGCTGGGATACGTTGCTATTGCATGAAGGTAGACAGGGGGCATCCTGTTCTGTAAAAACTTATCAGCATCTTTTCTAGGGAAAGCTAGAAAAAGGTAGGAATTGTATTGTGTAAGTACTGATTCTGGGAACACCTACTTGGCAAACATTGCAGCACAGCTAGAGAGGTGCCTGTGAATCAAATGCAGATTAGTCTACGGAAGTAATGTACCAGCATATACTGATAGAGGTACCAAATCTTTCATTGCACTGCCATCCTGTTCAGTCATGTTGTATCACTGAGCCAAATACAATTATTGTGGTAGCATATGCTAACATGCTGCTATTGGCTTAGGTTATGGCTGTTGTGAGAACACTTAACCCACGGGTTTAGATTGGGTTGGTGAAGACCCACAAGAGCACTCTAGTTTTTAAGATGTGGTAAATTCAGCACCTTCGTGCCCTCAGATTTGTAACAAAGCCCTCCGTGTCTCAGGACTTTTCTCAAATTCACAAATACCGTGGGTATGAGAAGCCTTCAACAAATGTTTCTCCTCTCTACTTCGGTGTTATCAAAAGTGGCTTCACAGATGGCCCTATGGAGAACAAGTATTAATTCGTAATGCCCTCATTTCTGATCAATTGCTTCTATTAGTTTTCTAGTCCTTGGCTTGTGTAGTTGTTTTTTTCCCTTTCTATGAAAAGTTGATTTCACTTCTTTGTTTTTGTTTGTAGGTATTGCCTCTTCATACTTAACCTTCCCTTATTCTCGCACACAGTACATATATCTTTTTTTTCTTTTCCCTTCTCTCTCTAGTGTTCGAGCACCATTATGAAAAAGTACATAAAAGGGTGTTTATAGAGTCTGCTATATGGAAGCTGTTCTGAATTTTAATAGATGTGTTCATGGGCTCATCCTTGAGTCTCTAGTCTATTACTTGAGATGGTTGCAGAAAAAAATAAGTGGCATGGTCTTCAAAATAAATGTTTTATAGTTTCACTGTCCATTCTTTATCTGTAAAAAAAATTCTTTGATCTAAAATGATAAAGCCAAGATCTGAAAAAAGGCTTGGCTGATTCTGTATCTTTCTTTTGTGTCATCTTCAAGCCCATGTATCATCAGGTTTGATTCACACTGATCTCGTTCTGCAGTAGTAAACCCTGAATGTTTGGAGTGCATTTTGAAGAAATGTCTACAAGTTCTGTATGAGCTTAAAGGTGACATCTGAACTTGCTTTCCCCAGAAAATTATCAGAAATGCATATAAAATGGCTCTGAGTCAGAAATTAGATTCCTGCCAAAATGCAGGCGGTGAGCAGAGAAAGATCGAAAATTGTGGAGGGATTCTAAAACACCTTTATCTAAACCTTTTAAAGCTAATGTCTCCTTTTCCTTTTGTATCCTGGCAATATCGAAATTAATGATCTTTGGATTTAAATTTCACATGGTGTCAAGCAGAGAAAATGTACCTGAATCCAAGTTTCTTCTAAATACAAAGTTGCTACAGCTTTTGTTCAGAGCTAATCCTTCCCTGAATCATATGGCAACGCTCAGCATGCCTGCTCTCCTGAAGATGTTCCTTTGAGGTCAGCAATTGTCTCAAGCAAATATTTGCCACTTCATAAATCTCTACTTGTATAGGCTGGATTCTATAGCCTCTTCTTTGGGCAGTGCAAGATTATACTACAGCTATCAGCATCACCATGGAAGTAGCAAATTCTTTTGGAAGAGGAACCAGATATTCAGACTGAAACACAATGTTTTTTGTAGCCAAACTAAGTTTTAGATCAGATTGTCACATGAAATGGATGGGGATTTCAAGTCCTACACTTGGCCTAAAACAACATGTTGTGGAAGCTGACATATGTAGAGCACTTTTGAAAAGCAGAGGAAAAAGTTTGAAATGCTTCACTGAATGCATGATTATAGTGCTTAAAGAAGTTTCTGTAATAATATTTAAAATTGTAACTGTATTTCAAAAATTATTATAATGAAGCATATCAAATTTGTCCAGAAGTTGGTGTTGAGCTAGAATTGCCATTTAGCCATTTGTACCTCTTGGAAAGTATATATAACAGGAGGCATTTTATATATGGAAAATTTGATGTATGGTCATTGAAAAAAGGATGTGGAAAAGTGCTGGCCATTTTTATTGGATTCGGTCTTGTATGACAATACTTTTTGGCTCACAAGGGAAGGTAATCATTCAATTTTTATTTAATAAGTAGCCAGAAAGTTATTCTTTAAAAATAATCAACACAGCATTTTACTTTGTTTGTGCTGGAATTTAAACCAGATGATTGGTTGTCAGGAGCTTTTTCAAACCAAGCGGGCTAACATATTATAAAATCAAATATCCCATGTCTAATTAGGTAATGTCGATTAAATTAAATATGACCACAATTTTGTAATTCCTTTTGTATAATCCTGTTGCTCTTCACTGAGG